AACCCAAATTGAGCATTTACTATAATATCTCATGCCTATTCCTAGTGATGTCTCACTGTATATAGAACGTACATTAAACAAAACATACAAAAAACATGCATCAAATCGTACAGTTTTACTACTAGTTGTTTTTTGTAGCTGCGCTGTTTGCTATTTGTTTACTGTTGTACTTTGTGTGTGGCTTAGTCTTCTTCTCTTTGTAAATAACCGAAATTGAAACTAAGAAACGTTTTGAAGCCCCCTCCGAAATAACTCATGAAATTCTTTCTGATTCATATTTATTCACTTACACAAATCCGAACTCTAACTTCTTGCCTAAGGCCGACAAAATACTTAAGTGAAAAGCATTAACTTGTAAGATTACATCTCTGAAATTTGTAACCACTCCAAAAGTAACCCTAAGAGATTAATAAATTCTTTTTATCTCTTATCGAAAAACGCGAAGGGCCCGCCATTAGCTCAGTTGTGGGTAACTCTGACGAGCCGCTGCCCAGTCTATCCGATCTGCATGACTGCGAGCCCAAGCTGGAGTTTGATGATACCGAGCTGTTGTCCCCAGCGCCCCTAGAGAGTAAGAACTATTTGCATATAATGTGCGCTCACAGACAATGAGCAAGGGAATGACTAAACACTTGCTTTTTATTCACAGAAGATGTTATGGTCGGCGATTTTGTGCTAGCCGATGGTAAGTTAAGCTCGGTGTAATTGAGCATGACGTTGTAAACGTTTGCAGATCCGTTTCCAGATCCCGAACTTGAGACAGAAGAGGCACCAAATCCCCTAGAGGACGACTTTGAAGACCAGCTGCGTGAGCAGTCCGAGAACTTTCAGGGTAACAAGAACAAATGCGACTTCCTGGGCACTGATAAACAAGGTCGTCACATTTTTGGCATTTACGCCTCGCGCTTTCCCGAAAAGTCGCAACTCGAAGGTTTTGTGCGGTAAATTTAGGTAATATCTTATCATTAAATAATAAACTAATAAATTTCTTTAATTCACCAGACAAGTCATCAAAGAGATTGAACCGTTTGTGGAGAACGACTATATACTCGTCTACTTTCATCAGGGTCTCAAGGAGGACAATAAGCCCTCGGCGCAATTTCTGTGGAACTCGTACAAGGAGCTGGATCGTAATTTTCGTAAAAACTTAAAGACTTTGTATGTGGTGCATCCGACGTGGTTTATACGCGTCATTTGGAACTTCTTCAGTCCATTCATCAGCGATAAGTTTCGCAAAAAGCTAGTCTACATCTCCAGCCTCGATGAGCTACGTCAGGCTTTGGGCCTGAACAAGCTCAAGCTGCCGGACACCATTTGCGACTTCGACCATAAACTGAATCCGAGTCGTGGCCGCGCATCGCAGCCAGCAGCACCCAATGGGCGGCCAACGATGCAGTTTGGCGTGACCTTGAAGTTCATCGTTATGCACAGTCCATGCCTGAATTCCATACCGCCGATTGTGCGGAAGTGTGTGGACTCGCTCTCGATCACGGGCGTCATCGACACGGAAGGTATTTTCCGGCGTTCCGGCAATCATAGTGAGATTATGGCTCTCAAGGAGCGCGTCAATCGTGGCGAAGACGTGGACTTAAGCAACGTCAATGTGCATGTCATAGCGGGTCTGCTCAAGAGTTTCCTACGGGACCTCGCCGAACCACTGCTTACCTTCGAGCTGTACGATGATGTGACCAAGTTCCTAGACTGGCCCAAGGAGGAGCGTTCGAGGAACGTTACCCAGCTGATACGTGAAAAACTGCCCGAAGAGAATTACGAGCTATTCAAATACCTTGTGGACTTTTTGGTGCGAGTTGTGGACTGTGCGGATCTCAACAAAATGACCTCATCGAACCTGGCTATTGTATTTGGTCCGAATTTCTTGTGGTCCGGCCGCACGAACACGTCCCTCGAGGAGATAGCACCGATCAATGCATTTGTTGACTTTGTGCTGCAGAATCACAAGGCTATCTATCTGATTGATGTTAATCAGCGCACGGTCAGTGTCGATTAGCGGAATAGCTGACGAACCCACACAAAAGAAGTCCATAATTTGTAAATTGTTTCATTAAGTGTTTAGCCTATAAGCCCGTCAAGGGGAGCACAGTGAAAAACGCAAGCGTTGTTTCGTGTATAAAGTGTGTTAAATCTTAAGTTGAAAATATTTTAACTCTCCTCTTTTTTTTAAATCTATTATTATTGTAATTGTGTGCAAATGCGGAAGCTGTTTCTCGTGTTCTGCGCCTATTTTAATCTCCCTTAACTATATACTCTTTCCCCTTAATTACTTATTTAACATATTAAAATCAAGCATAGTTAATTTACCAAAGAAATTTGTACGGTGTTTTATAAAACAGAAGCAGATGCCGAACGAAATATGAAGATTTTAATTTTATACAGCAATACGCACATTCCAAACTAAAAACTTAAGCTGCTGAATTTGCAAAAATTGCGAGCACCTGGCGGAGAGATCTGTCGGAAATTGTAGAAAACTCACAAAACATAATAGGAGTAGATTATTGAATTTCCTTATAGTAATACAAATTTTATATTACAAAAAAAAAAAAAAAAAAAAAAAAAAAAAAAAAAAAAAAAATGGTATTGTTAAAGAAAATAAACTAAATGTTAAACTTTAAAACCTTTTTCGAATTCGGGAAAATTATGCGGGTTGATATAAACATATTATTTTGTTTTGACCTTTCGCTGCGCCGCTGCGCATTTGAAATTTGTTTTTTTATTGGTACCAAAACTGAATCAATCCAAATGGAATATATAGTTATATAGTTCACGTACGATTACAATGTAATTGGGCTTTAGTGTTTAAATGTTGATGTTCTTCAGCTTGCGATTCAGGTCGTTAAATTTCATTATCTTACGCACAAAGAAATCGCCGTAGCGATGTGATACCTTTGTATCAGCAATATGAATCATATCATCGTCAATATAAAAATCGAGCTGTAATGAAGATGACGAGTTGTAAATATATTTCGATTTAGTGATTTTCTTTCATTACTCACCTCCGAGCCGGATTTGAAGGTGCCCTCAAGTCCACTGGGACCTTTACTCCAGACCAAATTGCGCATCTTGTGCTTGAAGCAGAGCAAACGTATCAGCAGCTTTGACACATCATCCTCACTTGCATTGGGATCGATGAAGGAAGCCAGTTTGGTCAGTGGCAATGTGGTGTAGAGCTTCAGATAAGAGCGGGTAGTGGGCAAATCCTTTTGCTGGCGCACTTCATCCATGAAAACCAGCAATTGATGCTCCATGGGATCCTTCACATAGTCCTCCATGGGCGCATCTGCTGCCGGTGGGCAGGGGCTAACAAAACGTGGGCATGCAAAAACAAAGAACGATTTGAAGACCTCGAGATCGCCGCACTGCATCTTGAACATGGCATCATGGTAGTTCTTCTCGCGCAAAACTTGTTGAATGGATTCATCAATGCACTGGGGATGCAGAACCAGACAAATGGCCAACAGATGATACATCTGCTCTGCCTGCTTGTTGATTTGATCGTTCTGGTAGCTGCGCGTGCTATACAGCTGCTTGGTGCGCTGAATATATAGCAGGATGTCGGAGAACGTGCGTATGGCATCCGCATAGCGACGCATCATCATATAGGCGAAGCCCACATAATAGGACGTGGATATCTGACAGGCGGGTATATGCGAGTAGGCCGATTTCTTGTGGATTTCAATGGGTTCCAACACCTTGATAGCCTGATAGTAATCACCCAACAGGGAGTGCACACGCAGCAGACCAACAAGAGAGAAGTAGCCGAGCATCTTGTAAAAGCCAAGTTTGCCGAAGTCGCCAGCCACAGTTTGTGGATCGTTGCCCTGAGAGATGGCCTCCAATTGCTTCTTGATGTTGGAGATATCGACCAGCGAGTGCAACACATTCAGAATACACAAAATGCTCCACACGTTGCTATGATTCACGCACAGCTGCTGAATCTCATCCTGCGACTTGTCCGTCAAACGTGCACTGTGGAGAACAATTTATATAATACTTTTCCTTTGTTTTAACTATCGCTGACCAACTTACCGATATTGCGCAAAGTTCTGGAACTGATAAACAAACTCATCCACCAACTCCCACAGCCAGATGTCGGGCAATTCTAGCATGACAGGATTTGGAGAAGAAATGATTAGATTGAAGAAATCACAATAGTTGAAGAAAGAGTTAATGCGTTGCTCCAGCTTCGGGCCACCCGGAATACGAGCGTGTATGTGACGATAGTAAAGCTCCTTGTACAGTATAAGAAAAACCTTGTCGTTGTCCACAATCGCACCCACTTCCTGCTCTTCTGGCCAGGCACTCTTGTCGAAATGATGATCGCTGATCTGCGGGAATGTGTTCTCATACATATTTTGTATGTCATAGAGATTCCCCTCTTTGATCGCCTGGCAGAAGTTCATGAGAAAGAATTTCACATTATCCGGCATGCGGTTGGCGTAGAAGGTGCGCTCGTACTCCATATCCAGCTGTGGATCGCCGGTGTGCGCATAATCATCGTAGAAGTCCTGTAAGAGAAGTTTATTTTCTTAGTTTTGTATTTCTGATTTATTTTTGTTGACGGTGGCGGGTCACAAAAAGTTGGGTTATGTTATTCCGGATCTTTGTTGACTTGCACTTATTGCAAATACACCGCATGCAGTTGGGTTGATGCAGCAATCACTTACCGTGTTACCAAAGTCGTCACCGCCGTACATTTTTGCTTTTTAACTATCTACTGTTTGACACAAAACCAAAATACTTTGCAACGTCTGACAAACACGCCAACAAATTTTTCTGGCGTAGCAGAAAGGGAGCGTAACGTAATGTGATGCGCTTTACGTAACGCATAAATGAGTAACGCAACGCAAAAAAATACACTCGATGTAGTGATGTTAAGAGAATTATTATCGACTATAAAATTCGTTGTACTCGATAAGGTTTAGAATTGTCGGTGTATCGATACTATTAAGTCATTGGGAATCTAGCGAGACGTGTGTGTCATCTAGTCGCAGCGTTAATTATTATTTTCTAATCAAACGACGGAGCGCTGTGTACGTTTGGGCTGGGCGCACGCACAATCATAACAGAGAGTACGAAGTAATATAAGAATAGTGCATTCACTAAGTAAAACAAAACAAATCACACTACATTTTGTTCACGTTGACGACGCCTGAGCCGCGGGGTTGGCCAAACAAATTGTCCCGCTGGCTGCACCAATAAAAGTGTAGATTAACTGTGAACAATTTCAGTGAAACATTTTTAAATAATTCAGTATAAATGTGTTTTTAAAGCGTGGCTTGGTGATTCTCAATAGTACAAACGCCAAAATGAGGCAACCAACTCTAAAACAGGCAACAATTTCAATTGGTTGCTGCTTTTTGCTGCTGTGCAGCAACAGCGTGGGAATCGCATTCGCAGGTAAAATATGTGCATATTCAACAAATGTATATAAAAGTTAAAGATTTGTTGAAATATAAGCGTTACATGATGTGAAAAACTCTAATTTCGTCTAAGCCAAGTTTTGGGCGTGTTCCCCAAACGCTGAAGACTCGTCATTTTCCATTTTTCTTTTTGTTTGTGCTTCGCTTTTAACTCGCTCTTCAAAACGTAACGATCGTGCACTCTCTGAGCTCTACTCTCTATCTCTCTCCCACCTCATGAGATCCAAAACGCTGCTTACGAAGAGCGCTAACAAAACAAAACCAACAAACAACGCCTTTTTTTTGTATTTTAACTCGTTGTGCTTATTGGAGCATTGTAAAATCTAATTGGACGCGTATTTTATGCCGGCTTTTTGTTGCAGTTGCAACTGCAATGCGCATGCCACAAGGTAAACACGTGGCTGCTGCAACCATATGTCAACCTGGCAAAGATTTTCAGAGCGGAGAGATCGACCATTTAGTGTTTCCCATTAGTAATTAATTGTACGCTAGCAACAACAATAAACATTTAAAGTTCATGTGCAAACATTTGATGACTAAAAATAAACATTTCTCCGCATTCTCATTGGTAATTTATTTCGATGCTTATAATTATATGCCGGCCAAGGCTTGCATCATACTCACTTCCAAAAATTTTCAACAGGCGGAAATTACTTTTCAATATATCGGTCACGTCATATTTATATATCATTGAGAACATTAGCCAGATACTTTTTATTGTTATTATACACAAATATCTATGTGTATAAAAACATGCTGAAATTACTACTAAACTGATTTGTCTAAGAATCATAATAAACATACGAAATGAAATTGCATGTAGTTAGGTCATAATGTAAGAAACTAACTCGAGTTAGTTGAGTTATCAAAAACTAGTTCAAATTGAATTCATTCTATTGATTATTTTCGACAAAATGTGCGTGTTCTAGTTGGCTGCCTGGTTGCTAACTTCCTTGTCACGACCTGTCACGGATATTCCTTACTGGGCTGGGCATATGTTTGTAATTGTATATAACTTTACTGTGTACATATATCAAGATTGACTCTAGCTAATCTGCTGCATGGTTCTGCTCTGCTCTGCTCTGCTCTGCTCCAACCCCAATTTTCGACAATTTAAGCTGAAAGTCCTTGCCATGCGTTTCGTGCGCTCTACGCTTATTTTTATAAGACTTGCTCCATAGGGTTGCTTAAGAAGCTTAGAGACTTGCAAGTTTTATATGCGTAAAATGTTTCACGTCAACTTATTAGACATATTTGATAAGAAAAATAAGTATACTAATAATATTTCTTTGGCAAATTTCTTGCTATGATAATAAATCAGCATATAAAAAATTTTAAAATCTAGCTGAAGTAAACAATGATAGATGGGTGTAAAAAGCATGAAGCTTCTGCTTTAAAGTCAAACACTAAGTGCACACGTGAACTCTTTTAGCCTTCTTCAGCCACAGTCAGCTAAGGGTTGTTTTTCTTTGTGGTTGTGGCGCTGTTTAAACAGGAACTGCACCCACAAAGGCGACGCCACCTTTGGGGGTTGTCGGGGAACGCAGACAGAGACAATTGTCGAGGCTAGGATTTCCGTGCCCTGTTATCAACGGTGCCACACGTCTAAGTGGGCACTTTTCTATTGCAGTCAAGCTTTTCAGTCGAGTCATGGCAACCAAATATTTACACAAATAAGAGATAACAGAGGAGTCAACAAATTGCACTGCAATAAATAAATTGCATTATATATGCATTTACACTTTTGCTCGACTTTCTCCGGCCATATTTATGGCTCATAAAAATAAGCACCAAAAAGCCGCATGATGCTATAGCCAAGGACCTAAAAAGAGAAAAAGAAAACGAATATATATAGACAAATTATAATTGAATATATTCTTGAACTCAAATTGTATTGGCCTCTGTCCAAGCGAGTATCACTTACTTTTCTTTCTCGGAAATTTTGCAATTTTATTTATGCCAGTGACAGTTTATATATGTAAGCGCATTTATCCAATAAGACTATTTAGGTCAGACAGACAATTTTTCGAACTTTTTAAGAAAAACAATCAAGTGTGCTCGACTGGAAGATGGCCTGGCACGTGTTTACTTAAAGAATTGTGCTTGAATTAATGAAAATCGCCTAGAGTGGGAGTGGGGAGTTGTGAGTTGGGTGGATAAAGAGATCGCGCCAGTAAGGGAGCCAAATGAGAGAGCGAAAGAAAGACAGTGTGTGAGGGGTAGACAGAAAGAGAAAATGACACAAAATGAGAGAGAGAGTGAGATACAAAGATATACAGTGTACAGCAAAAGGATAAATAAATAAAACCAATTATAATCACATACATATATACCACAAAGTCTAATAATTCTCTTTGCTTTGCAGATTCCTTCTCCGATTATTTCTCCGACTATGAGTGCAATCAGCCACTGCTGGAGCGTGCGGTTCTAACAGCAACATCATCTCTAACTGAACGTGGCCCAGAAAAGGCACGTTTAAACGGTAAGTCAAAATACTTTACACATTCGTTTCGTATTCGTTTCATTGTTTCTTTCGTTGTCGTTGATTATTTCTTTGAGTTCTTTGAAACTGTTTTTAGTTTGCTTAGACTTTTGATTACCTTATGCTTTAGTATCGTTGTGCTTAGTTTTTGTATTATTTTTGAATTGAGCGCCGCATAATCAGACGCGTTGACAACTCTGCTCGCTGCTCGGCGATGCTAACTCGCTCGTGGCGTGTCGGCGCGTTGGGCTGAATGGCCAAGAGGAAGAGGAAGCAGCGCTTTGGCAAATTAGTTGATTAAGCGAAAATAGGCGACAATGTTTTGTAATTGAATAGAATAAAAAGGCATTAGCATACGGTTTGCACCTCGAATCCAATGAACAAACACATCTGCTCGCGATGGGCGTTCGATTTAAGCACATGGACGCCCACGCTTCCGCAGCTGGCTCACGCCGTGGCTGCCATACAACCCGAGGAGCGGAAGCGTCTGATGAAATTTCATTTTATTGATGACTTTCTGTCCTCGCTAATTGGACGGCTGTTAATGCGTAAATTTGTGAGCACGTGCAGCAACGTGCCCTACCATCAAGTGCAATTCGCGAGGGATGTGCGCGGCAAGCCCTACTGGGTGCAGGATCAGCAGTCTGAGAGCACGCCCCCCCTCAGCTTCAATGTCTCCCATCAGGGCAAACTGGTGCTGCTGGCGGGCGTTAAGGGCGACAGCAAAGACGATGCTGAGTTCGGCATTGGAACGGATGTCATGAAGATCGAGTACAACGGCGGCAAGCCGCTGTCGGAATTCTTTCGACTCATGCAGAGCAAGTTCTCGCCACAGGAATGGAGCTACATTGGCAGGCCGCAGCACAATGAGCGGGCGCAGCTGAAGGCCTTCATGCGTCACTGGTGCCTGAAGGAAGCCTATGTCAAGGAGCTGGGCGTGGGCATTACAGTTGATCTGCAGAAGATAAGCTTTGCCATGGACACGACACACCCCCTGGAGGAGGCCTCGTCGCCGTTATGTGGCAGCACGCTCTGCTGCAATGGCACGCCCATGACTCAATGGCATTTCGAAGAGCATTTATTGACGCCCAAGTACTGTGCGGCCATTGCATTCCGTAACTGCCTGCCACTGGAGCATGCGAAATTTGAGTTTCTACCGTTCGAAGAGCTGATCGAACAGAGTCCCAAAGCCGACCAACCCGATGTGGTTGCCTACTGCCAGAAAGCGCTTCTTAAGCCGCATAAACGACATGAATAGCTAGTAATATTTGATTCCCAAATAAATGTACATATATACATATATATAGTTGTGATTTTGATAATCATGCTGGTGTGGCCAGCAGCTGTTCTCATATATGGAAACAGCACAGAAATAAGCCGGAAATGTGCTCAAAAGGCAATAAACCCAAATCGTAGGCACTCGCGATTTGCTTCTAATGGGCACCAGACATGGGCCAGACAACTTTGTTTGCTTTATATATATAGATATATATATACATATATATGCAAGCAGGACGAGGCTTGGCAAGGGTAGCGATTTGGTAGCTAGGTTCAGCGACTTTTGTTTTTTTCCTCATTTTTTTTTGATATATTTATTTTTATTGTGTTATACCCGAATTGTTAACCAAAGTTTTATCGATGGGGCAAGTTGTATGCGGCATTGAACCCAACTTGAGGGCAATTTAGCTCATATAAATCGCAGGCAATCGGATGCTCTATAGATGCAATATGCCCAGAGTGTTCACACAGTCTTTGGTCACGGCGTGCAGCCATTTAAAAATAAAAGCGAAATCTCCGCATGCAGCAATTGTTTTTGCCCATGTCCTTTTAGTGTTAACACCCCTATGCGAATGGTACTTTGCCACAGAGGGTTGGGCCCTTACCCTTGCCATGGCTGTGAAGGACCTTTGCTGGTTCTACATATACATATGTATATATAGGGTCGCAGCACTTGCAGCTGTCAAACGAAATCGGTCTAAATTATGTCCTCTTAATTGGCGGGCAACGTTTTGTCTATGGCTAATCGAAACCCCCTAACCCCTGAATTGCATTTGTTTTCATTTTATTTTCATTTTTAAATTATGTATCGTTAATTTTTATTGCCCAACCTCCCACCCGCACCCGAACTCCATACATAAAGCTGGCACCTCGTGGTCAGCCAAGAGCTCGGACTTTGACCAACGTCTGATTATTGATTTGGGTGTGGTGAAGAATGTCACGCACATTGCGCTGCAAGGACGCCCGCACAGCAATGAGTATGTGACCGAGTACACCATTAGCTACGGCATCACAGATCTCGAATTTGCCGACTATAAAGAACCCGGCGGCAATGTTAAGGTAAGCGCGAACCACCCGCCTCTTCATATGACACTAATCCAATCACTGAATGTGCGTGTGTGTGTCTGTGTGTGTTTGCTAAGTTACTTCTGGTGGCATTGGTGGTGCTGGCGGTGGTGGTGGTGGCTCGCTGGCTGGCTGGCTGGCAGCTGCACATTTTTACAGATTTTCATTAATATTTAACCTTTTTTTTTGTTATTTTGTTTGCATTTGCGCTGTATTATTTGCTTTCGCTTTGTTTGCATGCCTCTTTATTTAATGTGTTTATGTGTTGGTTTTGGCTCGTTTAGCTCTTCACACTCGTTGTCTAACTTAATCTTAATCTTAACCCGCATTGCAAAACTGGTGCAGGTAACGCTGCTTGGACACCCGTCGAGAATACCTATAATCACTTTCTAACATTCGATCTGGGCGGGGCACACATGGTCCGCAAGATCGCGACCATGGGACGCATGCACACAGATGAGTTTGTCACGGAATATATTGTTCAATATTCGGATGATGGTGAATACTGGCGCTCGTATGTGAATCCCACGAGCGAGCCGCAGGTACAGTGACTAACAACTAATTACACAACTAACTACGCAAAAACCCACTCGTAACTAAATCTTAATTGATGATGAAATAAACTTAACTTAATATGGGCTGTCTCTCCGGTTGTTGGCTTTGTTAATATTCATTTCGAATCTCTCGATCCTCCTGTTTGTGTAGATGTTCAAGGGCAACACGGATGGCAACTCCATACACTACAATGTCTTCGAGGTGCCCATCATAGCACAGTGGGTGCGCATCAATCCCACACGCTGGCATGATCGCATCTCAATGCGTGTCGAGCTCTATGGCTGTGAATACAGTGAGTCTCCCTTGCAGTTATGCAACGTATATAAGATATGATCAAGATCATATTTAATCAATACACATTCCTCGCCTAGTCTCTGAGAACCTTTACTTCAATGGCACTGGACTGGTGCGCTATGATCTGCGCCGTGACCCCATCGCCTCGTCACAGGAGTCCATACGCTTCCGCTTCAAGACGGCCTATGCGAATGGTGTCATGATGTACTCGCGTGGCACTCAGGGCGATTATTATGCGCTGCAGCTGAAGGACAATAAGATGGTGCTGAATCTTGATCTGGGCTCAGGCATCATGACCTCCCTCTCTGTGGGCAGTCTGCTAGACGACAATGTGTGGCACGATGTTGTCATTTCTCGCAATCGACGGGACATCATCTTCTCGGTGGATCGTGTCATCGTGCGTGGTCGCATTCAAGGCGAGTTCAGCCGCCTCAATCTTAATCGAGAGTTGTACTTGGGCGGCGTGCCCAACGTCCAGGAAGGTCTCATAGTCCAACAGAACTTCTCGGGTTGCTTGGAGAACCTCTATTTGAACTCGACCAATTTTATAAGAACCATGAAGGAAAGCTATGAGCTGGGAGAGGCGTATCTGTATAACAAGGTCAACACAATCTATGCCTGCCCCTCGCCGCCCATTTATCCCGTTACGTTCACGACTCGCGGCTCGTATGTTCGACTGAAGGGCTATGAGAACTCGCAGCGCCTGAATGTTTCGTTCTACTTCCGCACGTACGAGGAGAGCGGAGTGATGCTACATCACGACTTTTACTCTGGCGGCTACATCAAAGTCTTTCTGGAATTTGGCAAGGTTAAGATTGATCTCAAGGCCAAGGACAAGCCTCGCATCATCCTGGACAACTACGACGAGCAGTTCAACGATGGCAAATGGCATTCGTTTGTGCTATCCATTGAGCGCAATCGCCTGATCCTCAACATCGATCAACGCCCGATGACAACGACCAAGAATCTGCAGATAGCCACTGGACGCTTGTATTACATAGCTGGCGGCAAGGAGAAGAATGGCTTTGTGGGCTGCATGCGGCTCATCTCTGTGGATGGCAACTACAAGCTGCCTCAGGACTGGGTGCAGGGCGAGGAGGTTTGCTGTGGCGATGAGGTGGTTGTCGATGCCTGTCAAATGATTGATCGCTGCAACCCGAATCCCTGCCAGCACAAGGGCATCTGCCACCAGAACAGCATGGAGTTCTTCTGCGATTGCTCACAAACTGGATATGCGGGCGCCGTTTGCCATACCTGTAAGATAGGAAGGCTTTAGAAGTGTACAGGAAACTCAATTATTTTCTCTTTACAGCCAACAATCCATTGTCCTGCCAGGCTTTGAAGAATGTGCAACATGTGCAGCAGCGCGTCAACCTGAATATCGATGTCGATGGCAGCGGTCCTCTAGAGCCCTTCCCCGTTACCTGCGAGTTCTATTGTGAGTGTGTGCGCTTTGCTTTATATTACACCCAATCTAATCCGCTCAATCCTCAGCCGATGGTCGCGTTATTACCACACTGAGTCACAGTCAGGAGCATACGACCACTGTTGATGGCTTCCAGGAGCCTGGCTCCTTTGCGCAGTCCATCATGTACGATGCCAATCAGCTGCAAATCGAAGCACTTCTCAATCGCTCGCACAGCTGCTGGCAGCGTCTGAGCTACTCCTGTCGTTCCTCGCGTCTCTTCAACTCGCCTTGTAAATACATTTTACTTAAATCTCATGATTTCTTATAGTTATTAATTGTTACTTATTTGTATAGCTGAACCTGGTAACTTCCGTCCCTTCTCCTGGTGGATCTCACGTAACAATCAGCCCATGGATTACTGGGCTGGCGCTCTGCCCGGTTCACGCAAGTGCGAGTGCGGCATTTTGGGCAAATGTCACGATCCAACCAAGTGGTGCAACTGCGATTCGAATAGCTTGGAGTGGATGGAGGATGGCGGCGATATCCGGGAAAAGGAACATCTTCCTGTGCGTGCGGTTAAGTTTGGAGACACTGGCACACCGCTGGATGAGAAGCATGGCCGCTACACACTGGGCCCCATGCGCTGTGAGGGCGACGATCTGTTCAGCAATGTTGTTACATTCCGCATAGCCGATGCTTCCATTAATTTGCCGCCCTTCGATATGGGTCATTCGGGCGACATTTACCTGGAATTCCGTACCACACAGGAGAACGCAGTGCTATTCCATGCCACTGGCCCCACCGACTACATCAAGCTAAGCCTGATTGGCGGCAACAAGTTGCAATTCCAGTATCAAGCAGGTAGCGGTCCACTGGGCGTCAACGTAGGCACCAGCTACCATCTGAACGACAACAACTGGCACACGGTGAGCGTGGAGCGCAACAGAAAGGAAGCTCGTCTAGTTGTTGATGGCTCCATAAAGGCCGAAGTGCGCGAGCCACCAGGCCCCGTGCGTGCTCTTCACCTGACCTCGGACCTGGTGATTGGCTCCACAACTGAGTATCGTGATGGCTACGTGGGCTGCATACGTGCGCTCCTACTCAATGGCAAGATGGTTGACTTGAAGCAGTACTCGATGCGCGGTCTCTATGGCATTAGCACTGGCTGCGTGGGTCGCTGTGAATCCAGTCCGTGCCTCAACAACGGCACCTGCATTGAGCGCTACGATGGCTACAGCTGTGATTGCCGCTGGAGTGCATTCAAGGGACCCATTTGCGCAGATGGTACTCCAGTCTATAAGTTAATTATTTCTATCTTGACTAATACATTTCGATTACAGAGATTGGCGTCAATTTGCGTTCCAGTTCCATTATTCGCTACGAGTTCGAGGGCTCGTTCCGTTCCACAATTGCTGAGAACATTCGTGTGGGTTTCACAACCACCATACCCAAGGGATTCTTGCTCGGCTTCTCTTCGAATTTGACTGGCGAATATCTGACTATACAAATTTCCAATTCCGGTACTTCTCTAATTATTCTATTATAGATCGAACATGTTTTAACATCGCTTTGTTTTCCCTTTGCAGGTCATTTGCGTTGCGTCTTTGACTTTGGCTTTGAACGTCAGGAAATCATATTCCCCAAGAAGCATTTCGGCTTGGGTCAGTATCATGACGTGCGCTTTATGCGTAGGAACAGTGGCTCGACGGTGGTGCTGCATGTGGATAACTACGAGCCCGTGGAGTATCACTTCGATATCAAGGAGTCAGCGGATGCACAGTTCAATAACATTCAGTACATGTACATTGGCAAAAACACTTCCATGACCGACGGATTTGTTGGCTGCGTATCGCGTGTGCAGTTCGATGATATTTATCCACTGAAACTGATGTTCCAGCAGAATCCGCCCAATAACGTCAAATCGCTTGGCAGTAAGTTTAGCTTGGCTTGGCAAGCACAACAGCAGGTTAACATTTGCGACCTTTCTTGCAGCTCAATTAACTGAAGACTTTTGCGGCGTCGAGCCGGTGACGCATCCGCCCATTGAAATTGAGACCAGACCGCCACCGCTGGTGGATGAGGAGAAGTTGCGCAAGGCTTACAATGAAGTGAACGCTGTGCTGCTGGCATGTAAGTTCGAGGTGTTCAACCGATGGGGATTCATTTTTAATACTTTGCTCTTCATTTTCAGTCCTGCTCGTCATCCTCTTCCTATTGCTGCTCTTGATGTTCTTCCTTATTGGTCGCTATTTGCATCGGCACAAGGGCGATTATCTGACGCACGAGGATCAGGGCGCCGATGGTGCCGATGATCCGGATGATGCTGTACTGCACTCAACCACTGGCCATCAGGTCAGAAAGCGTACAGAGATTTTCATCTAACAACAGACAGTGAAGCAGTAATCTCTGAAAATCAATCGCCTTAAAAAACAAACACAACTGAGCACACAAAATATATATAAAAGAGAAATCCACACACAAAATCAAACGAATTAGGAAACGAATATTACAATTACAATTGAGAATAGAACCCAAGGCTTTTTCCCCCTCTTCACACACTGCCAATTATTTTGAGCAATGCATTTGCTTTGAAATTGGTTAATAATTGGTTGCTGATTTTTGATAAGGTTTTGCTTTTGTTTGATGGCAAATCGAATATTATTTTTATTTTACTTTGTACTTTTGACCACTCAATAGTCATCACAAAACCGTCCATTTTTGTTTAGTTGACTTTATTTTACACAAATTGTTTATCAAATTAAGTTACAATTGTACTTTAAGTTATCAACCAGCCAATTACATTTATGCACTGTGTGGCCAGATATATATATATCTACATATATATCTGGACAGACGTGCACAACTACACCAACGACATTCCATTATATTTAATACGTTATAGTTTGTTCTCTGTCCCTCTAAATATTATGTAAATCATTTCAAATGTCTTCTAATTTACACAAAACGAATATGATGAAACATTTTTTGTGCTAAGTTTTAAACAAAATGAGAAAAACGAAATTGTATTTTAGGAAAATGCAATTGCATATTTGAAATATACTTTAGCATATATGGATATGTATATGTATATATGACTAGTACTATATACACTGTGTGTTTACACTGACATAATAAAGATTTTTCAAATTTCAATAAAATTAATTATATATATACAAAAAAAATACTTTATGAACTTACCTTTAGGTTGATCTATGAAAACTAAAATTGATTTTTTTCAGTCTCTTAAAGTTTATTTAATATAATGTTGTATACTAAAAATATATATTTGAGTGTATGTGTGTGTGTGTGTATGTTTGTGGGTGTATACATATTTAGAGGCTATTCGATATTTCGTATAATATATATATATATATAGTCGTGTATGTTTAACAATATCGTTTAACGCTATTTTTGATTACTACAGGATTTTGGTTTCTACTACGATGATGGAATATTTCGTATTCACTTGTGTGAGTGTGAGTGTGTGTGTGTGTGTGTGTGTGTGTGTGTGTGTGTGTGTTTGTGTATGTGTGTGTGTGTGTGTATATATAATAATGCTATTTGTATTATCCAACAACAGTCTAAATTGCATCTAAATTTTAGATAGAGTAACACTGGGTGGGTAAATCTATATATCTATATGTATATATGTATATGCAATACTTGGCTATTGAGGTCTTCATTAAACGCCCTCCGAATTGCTAACAGTTCGAACTTAGCCAGAGCTTATGCTAATTACACATTCGTTGTGTCTAGAATATCTAATCGTTCGTTATTGGGTCTATCGCAGCCGAATCGCTGACTCGTGATATTTGTTCTAGTTATGCCTACTGCGGTTATATGCGGGATATGTTCCAACATTTCTAAATGGAAGTCAACAGATTGCTGTATTGATAATGTACTTGGATAAGTATTTAGTTGATACTCGTATGTGTAGACATACATATGTATACAATATATATATATGCTTCGATATTCTCTGTGTGCCCCAATCCCAACAAAACTCTCCCTCTCTATCTCTCTCTTTCTCTCTTCGAAAAACTATCACAAATCGTAAATTGCAAAATATAAAGCACAAAACTACAAGCCAAGGGGCGTGGCTGCGCCCCTCCCCCCCAACACACTTACTGGCAAGTGCAGCATATTGTCCACAGTCCATCCCCGCCAAGCTGTCCAGCCGTCGCCGTCGTCCACTAGTTGTGCACATTGCTGTTGGCCAGCATGCGATAGCGATTCAGCAGCAAGACGGCAGCATCCTGGGCGGGCTTTATCTTGCCGTGCGCCTCCTCGTAGGCGCCCAACAGGATTCGTTCTCACAAAATCGTGCAGAGCACAAACAGCATCGAGACCAGGCACAGCATGGCCACAATATCCCGATGCAGCTTCCGATCCCGGTAGAAGGGACGCGTTGTGAAGCTCTCACTGCGCGCCCGGCGCAGCAGCCACAGCGGCACAATCAGATGCAACAGATCCGGCAGCATAAAGCCAATGTCGCGCACCACCTGATGGGCGGCACCCTCGCCGCGCACCACATTCATGAAGAACTGATCGAAACTCCCAGCCAAAATGTGCAGCAGCGCAATGCCCACAATGCAGAACACCTTCTTCGGCTTGACCACATTCGTTGTGCTGGCCAGGTGCATCACCAGCACGGTGGAGAACAGCTCCGTTATCTGTGAAGGCAGGTGAAATTTAATTATAAATGTATTACATGCCCTAGTTGAAAGGAAAACATTTCTTGGCTAAGCTTTATCTGCATAAGAGGACAACAGCCTTCCTACTACTAAATTAAAAAGTTGCCGTGGAGACATTTTATATAAAATTTGATTTTTGTTGGAATAACCACATATTAAAATCTACTTGAATTGTGCAACAAAAGTTAATATTGGTCTACCTATATTTAATAATTGGCTATTTAGTTCATGTAAGAAAAATTTTAGTTTATGTATGATGTATGAAGTAGTTTTCTATATATCAAAGTCACGTGTCAAGGTGTACTCGAAGCTCTTCTCGTTGGCATGGAAATTCTGTTTGAAGGTTTAGTTCATGTATGAATGAATTTTCTCTATATTATTTTAATATGAAAAGCTCTATTTCTGCTTTTTCTAGTTAATTTAGCCCGCATTCATCCAGAGTTTAGCTCATGTATGCAAAAGTTTTCTATGTATACAACTAATATGAAAAGTTATAATCTTTAATGGAAATCTGAACTGTTGTTCTGTGCCTGTTCAGGTTCAGGACAAACTCTTTTCTCCAGCCCTTTGCTCCTTAAACCTGTTGCCTTTGTATGCTTAACTGGTCCTGGCCGATTGGCCATGCTCATTAACCTAGGCAAGCGCTTGCAATATATACACCTATTATATGCACCTATTATATAAATGTGTTTGTATAGGTATAGTTAGAGTAGTGGCCATTCGGTGGCTGGACTGGGCAGCCTATAAAGTTTAGAAGTGGCGCACGTGAAGCACGGATAGAAAGTTGAGCTCAACACGAACACCGGCGCATATTGTGCAAGTTTTAAGCATCGAAATTTTTCTGTTGCTTTTGTTTTTGTTTTGTGTTTCTGAACTTTGGTAATAAATTATGAATAGCCCAGTGGCCGGACCCACTTGTCCGCCCAGTCCAAGCACACATGGCTGGCCGGACTGTGTGGTGAAGTGCGCTAATATTCCGAAGGCTTACCGTGAAGAACAGTTGGTGATTCCATTGATTGTAGTAATCGTCGTTGTAGTAGTTGATGTACGCCCACCAGGCATAATAGTGCGAGAAGATGGAGAGCAGGAAGAGCAGCAGCATCGAGTAGCGCACACGCTGCTGCAGGATCAATGCGATGAGCCGCTTGATGCACTCGTAAAGTGCAATTACCGCAAAGACGGTAAGTATCCACATCTTGAAGCTGTTCGGCGTCGCATTGAAGTACATGTGCTTGTATGCGGCCACTCCCGACTCGTAGGGGCCCTTGAATACGGTGTCCCAGCAGGAGCACGTACAGAAGTGCCTATCCACATAGCGTGCATAATTCTCCCAAAAGTACCAGAGGATGACGATATGAGCCGGCGGTATCAATGCGGGCGCCAATGAGCCGCAAGCGGTGGGCAGCCAGGTGACATCAAACATGCTCTCCCACTCTCTCCCTCCCTCTCTCTTACTCTCTGTGTGTGTCAATGCCAATAAAAGCCGTTAAGCTGCTGCGTGCGTTCGACGGCGGCTTGACTGCGTGACAGGCTGATTGGCTGTCTGGCTGTCTGGCTGATTCTGTGCCTCTTTCTCTCTCTCTCTCTCTCTCTCTCTCTCTCTCTCTCTGTCACTCCGTCTCTCTGGCTTACTTGCACTCCCAGCAGGCTGCTCATTAGTCCATCGTCCACGAGTTAAGCTGTAAGCAGAGTTTGTGTAAAAAATTTTGGCTTCCACTCTTAATTGCTCCTCACACACATTTACAACACACAAATTAAGCATTAGAGCACGACTCTTAGTAGCTCAGTTCTACAATAGAAAGGGCAGCAGTTATATCAATGTGCTGTTGAAAAAGAAGAAGAAGAGATTTTCGCCTATAGTTTTTATGTATATATGAAAGTGTTCGAGTACACAGATTTTAATCAGCTTTCTGCTTTTGTGATTTTTATGTAAATGCAGAGCATATCCTTTAATAAAGCAGTGTAAATGTTATGCTTTTAAATGAAATGCATGAGCGAAACGCAAAAGCAAAATATTTACTCAGGACTGTACGGGCAACTCGATATGCAACGGTATGTATGTATGTATTTTGCTTGAAAAGATTACACCTTATCTATGTCAGTTTGCTTTCTTGGTATTGGTTGCTGCGTAAAGTACAATCTTTTTACTTTATTGAATCGAGCTATAGGCCTAACTTAGCTCTGTAGTTGATAGTCTCAGACTTTTAATTGTTTTATTATTTTGTTGTTATATTAAGTTTCTTATAGTAAGGGATGAGGTTTTTTATGGTAAATTTTAATTAAGGGTTAATTTATATAAAATAAAATCAAATCAAATCAGCTAGCCATAATTTAGTATAGTTACACCCTAGTTATGAGCTTGTCGTGCCCTAGTCATACACTATTCATACCCTAGCTATTCCCTGGATATTCCGTAGTCATTCTGTCGTCATATCCTAGCTATACCCATGTTATAACCTACTTATACCCCAACATCTCATAGCAGTCCCCTATATATAGCTTCAATTTCTGTTTTGTATTCGCCAAAATACTCTCATATATTTTGCTAATATTTGCATTGCCAAATGATTTGTTCTATTTATGAAAATAAACACAACAGTCATGCCCAATTACACTGTACAGCAAAATGCACAGTTTTTGTTTGTGCTACGACCTAAATAAATAGATTATTTCTGAAAAATAATCTCAATCAGTATAAATTCCAAGGCATTTGCTTTAATAGTTTAAAGTAGA